CCCCCCCCCCCCAACCTGAACAGCACAGGGGGTATTTTTTAAAAATTGGACGTTAACGTTTTTCGACCTTGAGAAAATATTGACCATTTCAACCATATCGGTAAAAATAAAAAAAAACAGCCTTTTCAAGTTTTCAAAAATGGCGTAGATAGGTTTGAACTTCTAAACATTATAAAACTTTTGACATTTTAACCTCAAACATTTATTTTTATTAAAGTTAACAGGAAAACAATTACTGCATGAATTTTCATTTGACTGTCCATATGAATCATTACTAAAAATGTCAAGAATTGCCATTAATAGGAAAAACCAAATTTTTCGTATGTTTAAATCTGAAATTTTACAGGACAAAAAATGACAAGATTTTTCACAAAAATGTTGCAACCAAAAGGAAGAAAACGTCCTTTGCTTCCTAATCCTACCCAATAAAGTATAATTATATAAACTATATTTATTGAGTATATATGATTTAATAGTCATGTTAATCTGAATTGCAGTGTTAACAAAAAAAACAGTGGAATTGGAAAAAGAAATTATCGCTATAATGTATTTGATGTTGTTACAAAGCAAATAGTTTTACTCGGCACTTTTTAAATTACTAATTTAGTGAAATGAGACTGTTTACTCTGCAGAGTTCCTATGTCTTATCCATCCTCATTGGACTTTTTAAACTTTCAACTTACTTCTAAAAGTCGTCTTTCTATTTGAGAGTTTTCTGGTTATCACTTTATTAGTTGAAATCCAGTCTTTATTGGGGTGATCTCAACGGAAAGTTTAAAGGAAGACAAAATTTAATTCGTAATAACATACAAACATGCAGTTTCTGAACTATCTCGATATCCAATGTGGGCACTTATAAGTTTAAGATTAATGCTTGACCCCAAGATTTAAAAATCATAATTTTCGATCTAGGTCGCGTCATTAAAATAGGTTCCTTTGGATACTTAAAACCTTTTTGTTGTTGGGTGAAAAAAGCATTTCGAAAGGTCAATAAACGCGCCGGATAAGCAAATACTTAAAGCGTAATTTTAAATGACATTCCATGCAAAGAAACCATTGGTCAATTTACAACAGTACCCTTGAAATCTTAATCAAAATTGTCGAAAAATATTTACTTGTGTGAATTTCTCCATTGTTCCTTTTAAGCAAGAAATGCGTCACTTTTACAGAGAAAATAAATAATCAAATACTGGCAAATCTAATTCATCCTTGATCAGACGAAGCTTTTCAGGGTACCTTGGTAAATTGGGCATTGTCATCTTTGCATGGGGGGGGGGGTCCTTTTATATATTTTTAAAATGGACATACAAGATCTCTAAATTTTCAAAATTGGAAAAAGTCAAGGATCACTGAAAGGGCATGCCCGGCGAGAGGATGCGACATGAACATCAAAACAATATCTCTTTTGGTTGACGATGCTAAAATTCTATCTTATTGTTTTAACTATCTTGCAAATTTTAAACAGATGTGTGATTTCTCCGCTAGAGATTAACCCATTGGAAGTTAATTTTGGTTCTAAACCCAATTTTCTGTTGTACAGTACTATGTTACCCCCCACTACCGTTCATTATCTTAAATCTAAACTGATGAAAGGAAAATGAGTTTGAATTCTGTTTTCAGCTCAGCTCTCTCTATGCCAATAAAACAAGATGAACTCCGAGAATATTTACATTTATTGATTACGGTCTGTATAGCAGCTGGTTTTACAGTTAACTCACGTTGTCTTCACAATATTACATAGACTAGGATAACCAGAAACCAACACGTAAATAACAGATCCTACAGTTCAACCCTATACATAGAATTCATCGTCAAACCACAGGTTTGGACCTTTCAGACTGGTTTTAATTAAATTAAAATTCACTTGGTGTAAAATGTATGTATATGCTAAAATGCGATTTTCCTCTTTTCTGTCAGTTAGGACAGTTGCAAGCGAGGGATACAACTGCCATGTTGTAACTCGGAATAAAGGCAGATGCCTAGACGGCGCATGTCCTTCTCCGCCTACTATCACTCTTCGTAAGAATAAATAAACGAATGTAACATTAATCCTCGTCTCGACTTATCTGAAATATAACCTGGCTCACTATACCAGCAACACCCTGGTCTAAAATCTGAGACATCACAAGATTTAACAAGCGCTGCTCGTGCTTAAGGAAGAGCGCACGGTTCTCCCTGTGCTTGGAAAGATTGTTGAGCGTGTTTGCCGCGCGTCTAAGCATGTCAAGACTAGTTCCCATGCTGTCAGGATTGTCCCGGAGTGCATTAACTCCGTGTTGTTGTGCGACCACCATAGCATTGTTCTCCGCCTGCTCAATGAACCCTATGAGCAAGGATACTGTTGTATCCTGGAGCGCTATGGTTCTTGATACTCCGCTGTCTGCTCCGGAAAAGTAGAAAAGAAGATTGATCGCAAACTCCCGCATTATCTGATCCTCAGAGCGATAAAGCTTCTTGGATAGAAAACTACAGAGCTGTTCCAGCCTAGAGTAGGGAGGGGTGCTCAACAGCAGATCAACGTTTGCTTCCTGAAATTAACAAGGGTTTAGATAAATACAATACAAACAAAAAGTAAACGTGTTCACCTCCCCCCCCTCACCCTAGGAATCTGCATTTAGAGTTAATAAATCTGTGTGTAAATGCATTGAAGAATTGGTTCTCAAATTTCAACAGATTCCGAATTACAAGAATGAAATATTTTATCAACAAGGGATTAACTTGTCGTATTGTTACGCAGTTTTGACGCGAAGTACATTCCTGCCCCTCCCCTCCCCCTCTCCCTTAAACTTATCCTAGAATTTAAAACGTCAAGCAAGTCTTCAGAAAAAGAAAAATGTGGAAAAATAGAAATTAACATCTAAATATTTTTTTCTTGCAAACTGATTTGCAAAAATATGGCTGAAAATTTAGGGTATGGGAAAAAAATGTTTGCTGCAGAAAAAAACTTGATTACTTCCTTAAAGAAAGGGCTTAAATTTGTACACAAGAAAACAGTTGCTTACCGTAATGCAAAGTTTGCAAAGAGTTTCAATGGCTAGACGTTGAGGAGATATATTGCTATGCTGTCCAACTGTACTAAATGTATCCTGAGCAACGGCTGCAGGAGATACCGACCACTCCAACAGACCGGAGAGCAGGGGGAGAACTATACTCTCAGGGAGGGGGGAGAGGTCCATGTGTCCGGCTATGTTTGACAGAGATACCATCACGTTCTCTCGTATCACCTTAGATAATTTTACGTTGAATTTTACATATCAAAATCAAATCAGAATCAAATTAAGGAAATCTGAGGTTAACAAATATCTATTTGTATTCATATAAATATTTAATTTATTGTAAGAATTTAGTAAAATATGAATAAAATCTGAGAATAAGCTGCGTACAACAGAGAATCAGTATGACGCCAAACTTAATCTTACTCTATTAAAAATAATGTTTCAGAAGAAATATTCATTTCTTTCTTGGAAAATTGTAGATGAAGGAAAATATTAAAATATTATGTTCGTCGATTTCGAGGAAAAACTCAAAAAAATAGTTGATTTCAATGTCAATATTATTGCTCTGTGGGGGCAAAGTTAAAAGAGGAAAATAGTTATTTTTGAAAATGAATTTACCTGTAAATGCTCCCACCACCAATCCTTCTGTTCCATAAGACTAGTGCAGGAGTCTGCGTAATCCTCCTCCTCTCCCTTGTCGTAGTTCCTTTGTTTACTGCTACGGGGCGGATGCCAGTGTGCGTGTAAGATTAATTTACCGCAGATAGCGAGGAACCCTGGGCAACTACCCAGCAGACTCTCGTTTCCAGGGACAAAGCTCAGGTTGCGGAATATGGTTGAAACACAGATTGCTCGGCGGCCCAGGGTGTCCTCGGCATCTGAGACGAGGTTGAGTGAGGCCTGGTCGGGTTGATAGTTCTCCTCCTCGAGGATCTTGTTATCCCATCTTCTCCGAACCTCGGCCTCGTCCCGAACCTGGATACCGGTTCGTCGCTTCAATGCTTCAAGAACATCCTCTACGGTCTCGGGTTCCACATTCTCAGTTTTCACAGCGCTTTCTTCACTTTGTTCACTTTTAACCACGGGATCATTTTCTCCCTTTTTGACCTCCTCCTTTCCTTCGTCCCCTTCTCTCCTTGTATTTGAACTGCTACTACTACTACTACTATTACTAGAACACCTTGAATCTGAAGGTTGGCTAGTGTTTGTGTTACAATTACTACTATTACTATTACAGGCTGGTTTCTCTTCAGATTTAGAACTCACTTTCCATTCTTCTCTCACTCGCTTCCCGTGTTTCTTTCCGGGAGAGATTTCACTGTTCTTCACAACCTCTGTCTCTTTCTTGGCGAGGCTCATGGAGATCTTGTCTTTACCGTCCTTGAGAATGCGCACAAATGGGAGGCGGATGTCCGCCCATAGCGCGTTGGCGGGAATAATATGATCGGTAGTATCGCCACCGCCGTCCGCCCAGAGGTCAGGGGCGGAGCTGAATCCTAGAACCTCTGGATCCCAATCTCTCTCATCTTCGTTTATAAATAGAGTGTCATCCTTCTCTTCAAACTGAAATAAAACAACAATTAAAAATCCAGTTTTAACCACTTCTGATCCTAATCAAGAACATCAGAATTAAATTGATTTATGTTTTGAACAGTACACTATATCAGAATTAAATAATTAATAAGAATGCAAAATTTAAATAAATCATAAAATGATAATCACGAAACCTACTTCTAAAAAGCTTTTAACAACAAATTTGATTTAATTCTTAATATCTTCTTATGTTAATTCGTCTTTCGGCGAATTATTAAAATTTTATTCCTGTTTTTCACTTAATATTATCAAATAACAACAATTAATCAACTATCAAAATTAACTATATTATTATTTTAAAATTGTTAAAATAAAGCTATAGCTGGCTAAACGGCTGGACCGAATTGGCTGAATTTTTTAAAGAAATTCAAGGGTTAACATAGGCTAAATCTTTTTCTTCAAAATTTAACAAATCGAGATTAGAAATAAATGATATTTGAGAAGGAGAAGAGTGAAACAGAGACTCATCATAAACTAGAAAAATATTAACACATATTCTTAAAATTAAAAAATCTTTCAAGAGCGTCAAAATTAATAATTTACCTGAAAGTCCTTCTCCGAGAATCTGGCCTCCTGTGTGAAATCCTTGGGTTGATGGTGGAGAACTCGAACCTTATCTCCTCTACGTAGTAGATCAGAGTCTACAGAACCCAGGTAGGTTTCATCATCTTCAACACGAACAGGGGCTTCATACCTACAGCAGAATCTTCAGTTAAATTTGGTCTTTTATCTTTTATAATTTGAATTATTTGTATCTCGGGCCCCCTCCCCTTAAAAATCCTAACAAAATAAATTCAAATGTAATTTCTTTTGTAAAAAAATATATTTAAGATCTCAGCTGAACAAAAAGTGGTGTCATCTTAATTTAGTTTTTTTGGAAGACCATATTTGGGAAATCTCAATACTCCGAGTATAGTTTTGATAATTACAATTCTGCCACACAAAAAATGTTCACTAAAAATAATAACATCCTGCAAGTGCAAACAAAAGTTTATATGATTTCTCACTTAGAATTAATCTTAAAACAATTAAGGATTACAGAAAGACGGTATCAAAGCGGGGTTCTTAATTAGCTATCAAGTGACAGTTTGATTAAAGTCTGTGATTCTACATGAGTGTTTCAGCAATTAACAATGTATTTAACTCGTGATAAATGATAATACACCCGAGACTAAATTTAATGAATAGTGAGAGGTAGTTGAACTACGCATACGTAATTCAACCACTTCTCTAGTGTGTAGGTTAAAATTGAAGAAAGTGGTTTAACTTTTTTATGTAACTCTGGCCTCAAACTTACCATTTGACCCCTTTATAGGATTTCTCGATCTTCTCGCGCTTTCTCTTCCGATTTGTCTCACTGCGCTCGTTGCTAATCTCGAGATCCTTGGTGAGCTCGAACATGGCTATGAGGGAGGCCCTCCAGTGCTCGATGAGAGCCTCTAGGAGTCCAGGCATGTTCCCGAGGCCAAAGTACGTGACACTGTTGTCATCGTAGAGAAGTATATTGAGGGTATCAAGAGCCCAACTAGACTCTTGGAGCAAACCAGATCTTAGGGCCATCACCAACCTGATTATAAGAATAAAAATGAGAATGAGAATGAGAATGAGAATGAGAATAAGAATAAGAATTTATGAATAAGAATAAGAATAAGAATAAGAATAAGAATAAGAATAAGAATAAGAATAAGAATAAGAATAAGAATAAGAATAAGAATAAGAATAAGAATAAGAATAAGAATAAGAATAAGAATAAGAATAAGAATAAGAATAAGAATAAGAATAAGAATAAGAATAAGAATAAGAATAAGAATAAGAATAAGAATAAGAATAAGAATAAGAATAAGAATAAGAATAAGAATAAGAATAAGAATAAGAATAAGAATAAGAATAAGAATAAGAATAAGAATAAGAATAAGAATAAGAATAAGAATAAGAATAAGAATAAGAATAAGAATAAGAATAAGAATAAGAATAAGAATAAGAATAAGAATAAGAATAAGAATAAGAATAAGAATAAGAATAAGAATAAGAATAAGAATAAGAATAAGAATAAGAATAAGAATAAGAATAAGAATAAGAATAAGAATAAGAATAAGAATAAGAATAAGAATAAGAATAAGAATAAGAATAAGAATAAGAATAAGAATAAGAATAAGAATAAGAATAAGAATAAGAATAAGAATAAGAATAAGAATAAGAATAAGAATAAGAATAAGAATAAGAATAAGAATAAGAATAAGAATAAGAATAAGAATAAGAATAAGAATAAGAATAAGAATAAGAATAAGAATAAGAATAAGAATAAGAATAAGAATAAGAATAAGAATAAGAATAAGAATAAGAATAAGAATAAGAATAAGAATAAGAATAAGAATAAGAATAAGAATAAGAATAAGAATAAGAATAAGAATAAGAATAAGAATAAGAATAAGAATAAGAATAAGAATAAGAATAAGAATAAGAATAAGAATAAGAATAAGAATAAGAATAAGAATAAGAATAAGAATAAGAATAAGAATAAGAATAAGAATAAGAATAAGAATAAGAATAAGAATAAGAATAAGAATAAGAANACTGTATATATTCTAATAATAGTATCTGCCTACTATACTGCATTAAACCAAGTACAACTATATTGTATATATTCTAGGAATAGTATCTGCCTATTATACTGCATTAAACCAAGTACAACTATACTGTATATATTCTAATAATAGTATCTGCCTACTATACTGCATTAAACCAAGTACAAATGTACTGAATATTATATATTCTAGTAATAGTATCTGCCTACTTTACTGCATTAAACCAAGTACAAATGTACTGTATATGAGGAGTTTTTATGATTTAATTCTTCCATTTTTACTAAAAAGAGGGGGGACAAGTTGAAGTGATACTGTCCAGATATATTATCTGAAATGGTCTAATTTGATCATACAAAAAAATTTAACATCCTACCTTGGTTAGAAGTACTTGCACCAAAAATGTTGAAAAATATTGATTGATTATTTTTGTTTTTGCGTAGCTCAAGAAGCCATTTGGCGCACACCTTTCCAGTCAAGATAGGGTTTTAATTTTGTGTGTGTGTATTCTAGACTTGTTTATCTCCATAATAACTGATATGCATGTTGATAACCAAATTAGGGATGGGCATATTACAAGTTTTGTGAAAAAAAACGAAAAAAGGTGAAATTTTTATCAATTGGCGCACCCTGAAAAAAAATTTCAAGAATTTTTTAAAAACTATTTTTAAAATTTTGCAAAATTTTGCAACTTTCTGGCGACCTTGCATCTCTGCACCAAAAGTGACCCTAAAAATGAACACCCCTAGATATATACTCCTTATTACATAGAATTTCAGTACCCGATACTGTATTGACTGTATTGTTAGCCTCTGTATTATAACAACACTTTAGTGAGCGATTTTTTATTGATACATATGTTGACCAGTGAAAACTGTATTTATATTTTTTGTTGGAAAATACTCTATATTTAATGATATTTACCGATCTCGACATTGAGGGTTGCGGTCCCCGCATTTCCTGTCTATACCCTGGTCCAGGTCCAGGCCCCGGTCCGGGTCCAGGTCTTGAAGACGAGGAGGACCGTGGAGGCCAGGGACCCCCAGGTCCTCCATACTGTGGACCGTAAGGACCCCTTTGATCTGGCCATGGGGCCGGAGGTGCCCCTGGTCTTGGTCCTGAGGATGGTGGATAGCTGGACCCTGGGCCAGGAGGGTATCTGTTGGGCCAGGCCGGTGGTCCTAAATATTAGATAATGAAAATAAAATAAAAAATATCTTTTCAAAAATATGTTACCAAACTATTCAAAGGATTTTCAATTTCGCAGAAAATGACAATTTTAAGCAAACATTAAGGCAATAAATTTCAAACCGAGCAGAGAAATTTATTGCCTTCTTCTTTATTAGAAAAATTCTTAATCAATTGCCTAAGTCCACTCTAAGAACTTTTGTCATCAATTTATTTAAATCTAACTAGCTCAAATTTAATTTTAATACATGCAGAGTTTGTCCTAGCTACGTTCAAGAGGTAAATCAGGAGTGGGGTATTTGTTAAAGTTAGATTAAAAATGGAAACTTAGTTTTGAGATGAGAAGATTGTTCGATGTTTTAAAGGGTTAGAACTTTCAATGGTCGAAGTCTTCACGTGTTCGGACTCTTATTGGTCAAAGTCAGGTTTAGGACTCTTATAGGTCAAAGTCATGTTTAGGACTCTTATTGATCAAAGTCAGGTTTAGGACTCTTATTGGTCAAAGTCAGGTGTAGGACTCTTATTAGTAGAAGTCAGGTTTAGGACTCTTATTGGTCAGTCAGGTTTAGGACTCTTATTGGTCAAAGTCAGGTTTAGGACTCTTATTGGTCAAAGTCAGGGTTAGTACTCTTATTAGTAGAAGTCTGGTTTAGGACTCTTATTGGTCAATGTCAGGTTTAGGACTTTTATTGGTCAAAGTCAGGTTTAGGACTCTTAATGGTCTAAGTCGATTTAGGACTCTCATTGGTCGAAGTCAGGTTTAGGACTCTTATTGGTAAGTCAGGTTTAGGACTCTTTTTGGCCGAAGGCCTCACGGTTTAAGTCTCTAAATTATTGGCGATAAGAAACTATTTCAGAAAATTGTTTGGAAAGGATACGAATTATGCATTTCAGAGACTGATTTAGCTAACCCAAGTTTCCATCTTTTTAAACATAGTAAGCATTGTTATGGGTAGAACGGNTATGCATTTGAGGTGGATCCGGATAGGGGTGGATGGGGGGGAAATTAATTGGGTATCTCAGGGGGATTCATGTGCAATGTGCATTATAGATAATATATCAAGTAAAACTAAAAATTTACACTTTAGCGACTAAGTTTCTCTAGAGAGAGATATTTCTGCAAAAGCTGAGACTTGAAAATAAAATTTGTGCAATCTTTAACAAAAACCCGGGCGGAATAAAATTCCTTAGATAACTGATAATAATTTTGTGCAGCTTTCTCACAGTACACAATAAAAAAATTGAGTACATTCAATAACATTAAACAGAAATTCTGTTTTACCAATTTAAATACAATGAGTATTTTAAAAAATCAGAAATGCCTTTCTTTTGAGATGTAGAAAGAGGTTTTTATTAGGGTGGTATTGAATTATCTCTATTTAGAACCTAATGAAGCAATAAGAAGCAAAAAAGGGATTTCAATCAAGCTTTCGAATGCGATCAGGAAGTACAATCAAAAATGATCATAAAATCAAATTATCAATCATATTAAGAGTTCTGATCAAATAATCGAATATTTTATCAAAACTTGACCTCAAACAAGTGATCAAATTGTCAGAAATGAGAAACTAAAAATCTTTATGTGAAAGCTAAAAATAACTAAAAAATAGCAATAAAATGAAACCAGGGACTAAACTTGCCTGGTTGTGAACTATCCACCCCTGTTCGCTCTTAAAATATAAACAATGTTTACCAAATCTAGCTGTACAGTGTACAGTGTACAGTGAACCTTGTACACAGTGCTTAGGATCCATTCAGTTTTGATGCGGATGCCGAATCTGGATCCGCACTGGAAAAACATAGATCCCAATCCGGATCCAGGTTATTTCCATATTTACTGAATTTTTAAAAAAAGCAGAATTTTTAAATTTTGTCTTATTTTTTTTCGCTTATTTTTATGCTAAAACTTGAACCATTCACAGAAATCAGGAAATTTTTATATTCTCTCTTTTTCATTAGTTCAGATTTGTGGTTTGAGAGTAAATTTGTTTTTTTTTTCTCTCAGTTTTTGTTGATATTTTCCCCCTTGGATCCGGATCCGTGGATCCGCATATTTTTGCGGATCCGGATCCAGGAGGCCCGAAATGTTGCGGATCCAACGGGTCCGGATCCTTAGCACTGCAGTTGTACAGTATATGTACCGTGTATTGTGAACTTGTACAGTGTGCGATGAACCTTTTACTGTGTACAGTGTACATAATCAGTACATACATAAAGCAGGACAAAAAACTTAATTTTGTGTTTTTGAGTGATAACCATTAGAGGTTGAGTTCGTATTAAAATTATGTTGCTTCTGTTATTTTTGAGAGGATAGAGGCTATATAAACAGTTTTAGGAATCTTTCGCTAAACCACTCTTTTATAATAATTAAACCACTGTTAAATAAAAATACACTAACAGATACCAACCATATTGGTTTAAGTTTTAAGTCTACAAAAATGTCCACCGCTTTTTGACTCACTACAAGTTGATAAGTTCAAGTTTCAAGTGATACCCTTCATTTATTCGGTGGAATATCTGATTCACAGCAGTAGTCCTCAAACCTGTGTCTAATCATGGATAAATGAGAAATCCTATTTTGCCAACTGAAAATTGTGATTTTTATTTCAAAGTGACTTGTGGATTTAAGAAACAGAGAAAAAGAAAAAAAGTTGCAAGTATACAACATTTTTCAAGCTAGATAAAATCGACTCTTACTCGATAAAGGTTATGGATGTGAATCGGTTATCCTACTTTATAAATGGGTCACTTAATAACACGTCTACAGAACCTTTCATAACAATAGAATATATAAATACCTGGATACATAGGTCTGTGGGGAGGATATTGAGATGGGTAGGGTGCTCTGTTGGGTGGTGCCCCCCCGGGAGTAGGTGGGGCTCCAGTTACTGGGGGTCCTCCAGGTTTAGGGGGGTATCCGGGTCCTCCTGGAGGTGGCATACCTCCCGCCTGGCTTATATTAGGTGCGAAACCCTAAAACATTCAACAGTTAGAAAATCAAATAAATGCAGAAAATACGAGAAATATAATATTTACAAGTTATCAATTAGATATAATTTTCAGAATGTACAAACTACAATAACAAGCTTTTTAGTTTTTAAGACAAATAAGAACTAATTAACAAATGATATCCAGTACTTAATGGATCATTTTTCACCTACCTTTTTTTCTAGAATTTATTAAGGAGTAAATATTCTTATCGAAATTTTGAGCTTGATAAAAAATACTAATTCTTTTTATGTCCTTAATTATTTATTCTTTATCCTCATTCTAATACATTTTTTTATTATTATTAATTTATTCCTCTTTTAAATCTTTTCTAGAATTATATTTCTTATGTCTGTTTTTAATATTTAACTAATCGTTTGTACTCTTCATTTTTGCCGTGTATTTATTTTATTCCTGAACTATTTNTCTTTGAAACTACTTTATAATCGTCGTCATGCACGTTGATTTAAAAATATTAATTTAATCATTATTTTATTTATGTTATTTAATATCACTCAAAAGACTGACATGTGGAAGACTGTACAGAAGGGAAGAAAAATAAAATGCAATTTATAACTGAGAATAAAAAAGGTGCAATAATTGTCCTTAAATAAAAAAACTCCCCTTGTGGAGGAAAAGTCAAGTTACAACTAAAATAATTTAAAACAAAAGCTTACATAAGGGTTTGAAATCATCAAAAATATTAGCAAAAAGAGAAGGTTGTGAAAAATAATACATATGAATTTTTATGTAAACTATGTGGAAGAATATTATAACATAAAATAATACAGTAAAGCCCCAACGAAGAAACAAAGACATGTAAATTGTACAACTATACTTATTCCATAAAAACGTACATGAGGGTTAGGAATCCTCTGAACAGGTAGGGCGGGGGGAAGGGTATCCTGTATAGTGCCTGGAGTGGCTGGGGAGTTAGCCCTCAGTATCACAGGGTGAGACGGACCCTAAAAAGTTTAAAACTAAGCAAAACTAAACAAAATACTAAATACAACACATATAAGACCATTTGTGGGAACAGTCCCTTGTATTAAAATGGACCGAATGTTAGTGTGTTAGTGCAGTTTTCAAATCCATATAAAGTTTTTAAAAAACAATTTTCCAGGGTTAAATATTTTCTACTAAAGGCATTTAATAGTTGGCAGATTTGACAAAAAACTGAAGATTGTACCGGGCAAAATATATCATTACTAATATTATTTAAAATGTTTTTTCTTATTCAACAAACAATTATTTTAATGAAAATACATAACCCGCAAATCGTCTTTATAAAGATTTGAATAAATTGATGACAAAACAATTAAATATGGACAAAATTAGAAAGCTGAATTTTTTTCAAAATGTTGGATTTCATCTTTCGACAAAGCTTAACTAAACGTTAAAGGGGCATATCCCGTGTCTTGCTTGAAAACTTTTGTCGAAAAATTGAAATGAAAGGATGCAGTGTTTATTAATTTAATAAAAATTCTAGGCGTAATTTCAAGTGACAAGGTTGAATATTCTTAATTTTCTAGCTAAAAATTATTTTGTGGTTTCTCTGTAAAAGTGACTTGCGGTTGTAAAGACAATTAATGATGTATCAATTTTTAACTTTTAAAGATGAAGGAAAACGAAGATATCAAACTCATTGTTACTCGGGTATCGTAGTAAATAGGACAAACTTCATCTTATATCGACTTGAAAATACGCCCGAAGTCTCTTTAAAAAGGTAAAAAATGATCAAGATGTTTAATTTAAACTGTAAATGGCGGTTTTAAGATAATGACCTGGGGTTGCGGGGGCCTCATCATCATACGAGGACCTGGAGGTAAGGCCCCAGGAGGACCAGGAGGTGGACCAGGAGAAGGAGATCCTCCTCCTGGGCCTCCTGCTCCTCCTCCTACTACACCGTTCCCTGGGCCGCCTCCTGGCTTCTGGTAATAAAAGAACAAAAATAAAAACAAGCGGAAACACATCCTGGAGAGTCCCAAATATTTCAGAAATTCAGTGTTAATAAAAAATAGATTTCTGAAATTCTTTTATCTTCTTAGAATTTCAGAAATCTAGAAAATCCAGTTTGAGACTTTTCAGGTTTATTAATGCAAAGGACGAAGGATAAAAGTCAGAAGCAATGTGAGGAAAACTAACCTGGTAATCAAACGGTTGCGAGGAGGGGGGAGGTGTTGGACCCCCTGAGCTTGAGGTGGGGGGTGTGGATGGCGGATATCCAGGACGAGGCGGATATCCTCCGCCCCAGCTAGGCGGGGGCCCTGATCCTTCATACTGCCCTGGACCCCACCTGGGGGGCCCTTGACCAGGATAATTGTACCCCTGAGGACCGAATCCGTCAGGACCAGGCGCTGAACGTGGAGGAGGGGGGTATCCACCACTTGTGGGAGGATAGGAACCTAGAATTAACAAGAATTAAAACCAAGACAAAATGATCAAAATATATAAATTAACATATTACAACAAAAGACAACAGAAGTCACTGACGAGTGTAACTTTTAAAATAACACAAGCACCGAGAAAATTTCCTTTAAACTACGTCTAACGGTAAGATTTTACAGTGCTTTAAGCATTTATGTCACGTTATCTAGCAGAAGAATATCAACAAATCTCACCCACTCCCCCTCAAGATGGGTTCATAAATATATTTAGATATAATGCCATATTTTATCTAGCCAGTATGTTAAATAGTATATTTTTGTAACGGATTAGGACGGATATGTGTTAAGATTTTAATACTTACTTTTCTTGGTTTTATTATTAACCTCATTGTTTAAAAATAAAACCTTTATCCGTCATAATACGCTATTTTAATGTAATAAAAAGCATGCACACGATACACATACATAATTTTACACATTTGTTAGAATTTCGACTGAAACTTCATTTTCTGGATCTTCTTCTTACACAATACAACATTTTTACACCATGTAATTAATAACCTTTAAACTTTGGTGGATAGTGTACTCGGTAACCTCGATTGTACCCATCATAGTACTTGTAATACTCATTGTACTTGTAGTAATCATTGTACTTGTAGTAATCATTGTACTTGTAGTAATCGTTGTACACATTGTACTGTTCAGAGGCTTTGGTGTACTTTCCACTATCTTTCTCTTTCCGCTTCCCCTCTCCCTCATCCTTTCCCCCCTTTTCTTGCTCCACCATTGCTTTCTTTTTCATGCCGCTTTCCTCTAGGTTATGTTTATTCTTCGTTTCCTCTGGAAGTTGTCCAGTGCTTTCCTGTTTCTCTTCCGACTCCTGTTTCCCTTCTGACTCCTGTTTCCTGACTAATACAACATTTTCCTGTTCTTGTTGTGCAAGTTCCTGTTGTTGCTGTTGCGGATAATACTGGTTGGTGTAGTTGTCGTATTGACCTTTACAATATAACTCTTATATTTGTGTATTCCTATTTCTAATTACTTATCCTTTATCCTTCGTAGGAATATATTTAAGAGTCAATCTTTACCATATTTCAATTAAGTAAATAAAAAACAAAACATTTTTTTTGGGGGGGGGGGGGGGGGGTTCTAATCGAGGATAAGTCAGCTGTACTTTCACTGAAATTTAAGATTTAAATGTTATAATTATTATCTATATTTTGTTTAACATGGGATTAAATGTAGACTAACTTAAATTATTACTTCTGCACGAATATAAATTTAAATAAAAACTAGATCATGTTCCCACCTTTACATCTACTACTGTGTCTATTAAAGTGTTATACCAGAATTTTGAAAAATGAAAAATGCACAATGTAATGCCTGAGCGAAAAAGAGGAAATCCTTGATTTTCTATTTGGACAATGATATTTTTTATTTGTAGTTTTTCTTTGGGTTATAGATCAAATATATATATTTTCCTTCCACAGATATTGCTGTTATTATTAATTGGAAATTTCATAAATTTCTTTCTAAAAGAACTGAGCTTTTTGTCGTGTTTACTGTTTATATAATATTCAGAATTTCACCCAGAAATATTACAGCTGCATACTTAAGCAGAAAGTTTTAATTCATTTTGATTTTTGATCAAGAAATGATTGATCAATTTTTATATTGCTTTATAGTAAATCTTAGAATAGAAAAAAAACATTTTCGCCCAAATATCTTCTATACCCCAACCCTTTTGCACGAGGGGGGATATGCCCCCCCCCCCTCCAATGATAAAAATGAAAGTTTAGACCCACCTTGTTGCCTATGGTCTCCTGGCGGATAATTATTATATCCTGGAGGATATCCACCATATCCATCCTGGCTTCCACTCAACGAATCATGTGAGTCCTAAAAATATTTTTTTTTTATCGTTATATATATGATTTATATCGTTTTGAACTATGTAGCACAAATCAAATCAAATCAAATCAAATCAAATCAAATCAAATCAAATCAAATCAAATCAAATCAAATCAAATCAAATCAAATCAACTCAACTCAACTCAACTCAACTCAACTCAAATCAAATCCTTTTGGCAACGTTGAACTATAGCACTCCAATCCAAGAGTTTATGAAGTCAGAATTTGAAACAGGTTTTTAGTTTTGAGAAATACTAGCTGAAGGGCCCGGCGTTGCCCGTGAAAATAATTTCACCCCCCTGACCACCTATGAGTGTCCACAAAAAAAATTCAGCCCAATCAGTCCAGCCGTTTGGCCGGCTATACGCAACATATATATATACGATTGTGTTGTTTTATTATATATATAAAGAGGATGTATTATGTGCTATGAAAATAAAAGAATAACAATCTTTAATTTAAGTTATCAAAGATTAAAGAAATTGACCGTTTTCAACCAGAGGAAAAATCGTGTCAATCTAGTATTCTTCAGAAAAATATACACCGCTAAAACTAAATTAACGTTAATTTTTATTTTTAACCACCCTTGACCCCACAACTCGAGGGGGTGGGGGTGGGGGTTGTGCTAGCCCTGTACTGACCTGAGATCCTGGTGAAGGAGGTCTGACCGGCTGGGCACCTTTTCCCTTCTTTTTACTCTGTGCTTCCACCTGGGCAAGTATAGGGCCGGGGTCAATACCTCCCCGCTCATAGTGGCACTCGAAGGGGAGCAAGTTCTTCCCGTAGTGCTTCTTGAGGGTGTAGGCCCCGCTACTACTGGGTCCTATTCCAAGCTGGGCAGCTATTTCCTTCCAGGCCTTCTTATTCGTACACTGAACAAAAACAAACATTTCACTCTATTTCTGGAGTACCCAGCGTTGCCCAGGTGTATATGAATATTCATACTCATAGTTACTCACGCCGATTACCAGCGCTTGGTATTAACTCATGATCTTATCTGAAGTGCCCGACATTGCACTTGAAATTCAAGAAATGTCCAATCTTATATATTGACGTTTTTGCCAAAAATTGATACTGAAATTCGAAATCTAAACGATAGCTGACAACCATTGGTCAACAATCTCGTGTTATTACGTGAACTTTTTTAGTGATTGACCAACGTTGGATTCTTTGAACTAAGTTTTTAAACGTTGAAATATTTGTCTAAAATTTGCAGTCTGGATTACAGAGTAACAATAAACTATATTTTACTCAGCAAAATTTCTATTTCTGCAAATAATCTCAGCACCGAGGAAAGTTGTGTAACCCGAGATAAAAACTATATTTATTTTAAATTAATATCATATAAGGCACATCAAGAGATGTCGTAAAAATTTCCGTAAAAAATGTTTTTTTTTTCAAGATCAAAATAAAATTTGCTGAAAATAAACATTATTTCGTTTCTTTTCAGTTTCCACTTTAAACCTACTACATTACCCCCGTTTTTAACATAACTAAAGTCCTATTTGTGCGATACAAGTACAACAGTACATATGTTTTGTTCTTTAATGTTTACGTATCACAACAGCAGTACATTTCTACAAACCTTGACGCAACCATTACAAGCCAAGCACACTTTGTACTTATTAATGATGTCATCGATGATATATTAATTTATTTAATGTTTCGTAAGTACGGATGTTATTATGTAAACAAACATTTGCACAATGAAAATTAAGAAATATTCTGTAAATTAAAGAAATGCGTACGATTACGTTTTAACGCGAAATATGCCGATTTCTTGCCTCTTTACAACCTTACATTCTTTGTTGTTAAATCAAATCGAACAAAATTAAATCAAATTTTATCAAATTAAATCAGATTTCTAGGGACGTTCTACTTCTACTTCCACAATGCCATCCCTCTGTAAATATACTAAACTAGAACCAATTTACATATAGATTCAGCATTTTAATTCCCGAGAAGACATAAGCCAAAAATTATCATTTTGAGGCCTTTATTAATTTAGTCAACGTTTAAAATAAGGTTTACGTCATAAGGCTGAAATAGGGATTAGAAGATTAGAGCTTGAGACGAGTTCATTACAGCATAAAATCTTACTTTAAGAGCTACCGTTGACATCACTAACATTTGTACAGTGTACACTGGACACCCTGGTTTAATGAATGAATACAAACCTCTAGGAATCCACCTTTATCCTTGGTGTAAATGTATAGTCTGTAGAGGTCCAAGGGGTTCTTAGATATTGTTGGACACTGTGTAATAGGAGTTCCTCTATCCTCCATAAAGCTGAGAAGTTTGTCAAGCCAGGCTCGGCGTTCAGGGTGATCATCTATCTCGTAGAGGCGTTGGAGGTTCTCAACTTTAGCTTGCTGAACAACAACAATACACATTACTACATGAACGACATTGGTGAATTTTAACAATTTAAAGAGAATGCTCACAACAGTTTAGTGATCCCTCATTGACAGATAAAACAATTGGAAATAATAATAACCATTTAATCCCTACATCCCATGGTATTTTTCATGAAAACATCTCAGATGTAGTATATTAGGGTATTGTGGTGAATAGTTTATGGCATTCATCAATTAATGGGTTTCTTTGAAACTACTTTATAATTTCTTTGAAACCGGTTTTTGTAGAGTTTTTTTAATTACATCAATTGTCGAATTTCCATTCGCCTATATCATATTTCTTTTTTTATCATAGTTCAATTTCATTCATTATTGCGGGGGGAGGGGTTCTCTCTCTAACAACCGGTTCCAAATTTCAATTTTTAAAAACATTTTAAAGATAAAACCAAGAATTTAAAAATATCAAATTAATTCAAACCTAAAAAAACAGTGAACGATTAGGCATGCACTTAAAAATCATAAGATAAAAAGCCCCAATTAACTTTAAAAAATGAAAATTTTGGCAGTTAAAAATGATGTGTAAATTGAGATATACTAAAATTGCGAAAAAGAAAAAGCATTAAATTATGACTTTTTCGAATGATAGAAATATTAAAAAATATTCTTATTAAAACAACTTCTAAATCAGGATTTGCTCTTCTAAATAAGACCTACAATGCCGCAAAATATATTTATCAAATATGTATTAAAAATAAACTTAAAAGACATGCAATCTAAAAACAAAAACATAGCAAGTGAAAAATATAGTTTATATCCCTTTTATNGCGAATCCTAAATACTGACAAAACTCGGAAACAAAATTCTTTGACTAGAGATAAAGTCACAATACGTGGTTAGCAGAACTCAAGAAAAACTAGTAAAAAATCCATAAATGTTAGATCTATAAATACAAGCGTTGATTGAGGCCTCAATTAAAATCCGTTCCTAAAAAAACGCGAAAAAGGCAGAGAAGATGAGATTTCTCTAATCAATACGTTATCAATTTGTTCGTTTTGTGTTTCTAAATGCAGTAAATAGTGCACTTTTTGGTTGTTTTTGTGTTTCTACGTGGAGTAAATAATGTACTTTTTGATTGTTTTTGTGTTACTACTTCCAGTAAATAATACACTTTATGTTTACTTTATGTTTGCTTTTTGTTTCAGTGCAGTAGATAATGCACTTTTTGTTTGCTTTGTGTTTCATTGCAGTAAATAATGCACTTTTTGGTTGTTTTGTGTTTCAGTGCAGTAAATAATGCACTTTTTTGTTTGCTTTGTGTTTCAGTGCAGTAAATAGGCACTTTTGTGTTTGTTTTGTGTTTCGGGTCAGTAAATATGCACATTTTTGTTTGCTTTGTGTTTCAGTGCAGTAAATAATTTTTAGAGACAATCACCCCCTCATTATTGTTTCTTCTAAGGAAAAACTAAGAAATATTGCCCCGCCCCCCTCCAACTAAAAAGATAATTTATTTCTTGTGTATTTTTACACAATTTCCAAATATGCCTAATTTGCCTTTTCCCTCATGAAGTTTTTTCAGGACGTTTATATGAATCTTTGAGGCCTCTTAACACAATGCTTATTTTATATTTTAGTTGTTCTACAACATGTATGGATGGAACGCAACAAAACTAATAACGGGGTAAAATTATAATATATGCAAAAAAAGGAAGCAGGTTTTGAACCTTAGTTCTGTAACTGGTATCTTGCGACACCGGACTAGGAATTGAACTCATAACACCATGGCTGTTATACACCTAGGATATACAGTAACTAAAGTCTAGTTTCATTAAACCCTATTTTAGATTTTTTTAAAAAGTCGGAGATAGACAGACAGTTGTGATTCATAACAGGATTTTAACTATTTCAATATAAACTCTATAGGCTAGAATTACTATGTATGGTCTGCGTCATATTTGTTTTAAAGCAACAGCTGTGATATTAGTATTCATTCGGCGTCATTCCATTCAAAAACAAAATCAAAAGAAAGATAAATTGAAAGAAATATGAAACCAACAATTCTTGAATTTTCATTATCAGTAAATTAACTTGTTTAACTGAAATTAAGAAATACGCACGATACTTCTTAACCCCGCCATATAAGATCTTCATTCATTAATAAAATGTTAACCGTGGATATTATCGACCAAGTAGGGAGAATTAACAAAATAAACCCTCAAGATTTGTAAAAGCACTGACCGGTCCTGGTCCAGGTGTTCCAACTGGAGAAGGAGGTACTCGACCCCAACCATGTCCTGGGGATCCAACATCTCGTTGGTATGGATCGTCCTGAGAGGATCCCATGGAGCCGGGGGAAGGGGCGCTATGAGGGGTCCCAGGAGCACCTCCGTAACCCTAATTAAAAAAATTTAAAGTTTAAAATACAATAATAACAAATTCAAAAGAAAAGGAGAAAACAGCCGTAATTTAAGATAAAGTGTGATTTAAAATCTGCAGTTACTTAAATGACGATAAAAAGGGTGTTCAGGGAGTAAAACTAACCTGTCCATATCCACCCTTGGGAGTTTGCCGTCCTCCTGAATTATCTGAGGATTGTGAGAGTGTAGACTGCTGGCTCGTATCATCATGTATAGGCTGACCATCAGGTCCTGTAGTTACCAGGCTACTTGAGTTCCCTTCACCTTCACCAGGGGCAGGGCCAGAGGGCGGAGCACTGGCTGGGTAACCAGGGGATGAAGAGGGAGGCGGACCCATTCCTGGGGCCCCAGCCCCACCCGGGGGCATCATAGAGGGACCATTGAACTGTGGTCCGTTGTAATTACTAGGAATAGAACCAGGGTATGGTCCTTTCTGACCTGGCATGTATCCTGGTCCACCCATACGCATACCAGGCTGAGGAGGCATACTTGGATGTCTGGGTCCGGGAGGTCCTGGTGGACCCGGGGGTGGTGGTCCGCCTTTACCCCCATTGTTTTGTCCATTCCAGCCTTGGGGTCCAGGGTATGGACCATATCCTGGATACTGTCCTGGACCCGGTGGTCCGGGTGAATTGTTTCTAGGTGGACCAGGGTATCCAGGTCCATAGGGACCAGGAGGTCCCCCATATCCAGGCCTGGGCCCGTATCCCTGATATCCATAGGGTGGTCCACCCTGCCCAGGTGGGGGCGGATGTCCCTTATACATATGTGGGGGCGGGCCCATGTTAGGTTGCCCTGGATAGTTCGGCCCGGGGGCGGGGGACGCCATTGCGGCAGACATAGGACCGTTTCCTTCGGGGTTCCCGCTGCTAGGTCGAGGCGGAGGATCACGGGGTTGTCCAACTGCCGGGGACATAGACCGGGAGGAGGAGGACCCTGTTGGGGAGGGGGAGGGGCGGGGGCGAGGGGACGGGCCCCCCCTTACACCCGGTTCAACGCTGCCTGGGCGACCGTCATCGCTGGGAGATCTTCCATCATCCTGAAACAAAAATATCAAATTAAGAATAATGTATTAGTAATAAAAAATACTTATGAAAAAAGTGCATTCCCCTCTCCCCCTGCCTTCCCACATTATGTAGAGATGTCCATATATCTAATATCAATGATCCCAAAGCTAGAAAAAGAATTGAAAAGGCAATATGTTCCTACGCATATATTAATATTTAACTTGGAGTCTGATATGAAATTCTAAATATGAAGAATGACGTCACAATGTTTGCTGATATCCTTCTTCCTTGATTGATGTTCAGATCTGGGGTTTTCCGACCTTGTAGATAGATAGACAGATAGATAGATAGATAGATGTATAGATAGGTAGACAGGGTAGATAGTAGATTCAACATTATTGTCAGGGGTAACTCAAGCTCGGTACAAGTTTGCTCTATAAGAATACAGATACTAAATCAGAACTGTGGAAACCCTCATTTCACAACTTCTAGAATAGCGGGCAGATCCATATACATATATACAGTAGATATGCCCGTTAGTCCTACAATAAATCATGTATACTTTGTCAAACCTTGTAAAAGAAGGGTTAATTCTAGAGAATTTCTCTGTCGTACTTTATTATTAACGAGAACTTTAACTTTTTATCAGAGGGATAAAATATCAATTCAAATGGAATTTCAATCTTTTATTCTTTTGTCGTATACGCATTCCATGACATTCTTGTACGCATTCCGACGCATTTTCCTAATTGAATAAGTGGCTCACCACTAAGATAAGATAAAATTCGACCTTAATTTCATATATTTTCTACTTAAAGATTCAAATCAGGTTCTACGGATAAAATTAATACGGAAATTTGTGATTTTGAATATTCACCAAGAAAGATTTCTATTTTATCTAAACTTGTAACTTTTATAATTATCCAGATTTGAAGCACATCTAAGAAACTTTATGTGGTTAATGATACCCCCCCCCCCCCATCGGTCAAATGCAATGAGAATATGTTGGTAAAACTTTCATTCAAGCAATAAAGTCCACGCTTGGTATTACTGATTATCAAGTAATACTTAAAATCCTTTTTAAATCAGACTTTATCTCAAACTAACTTTAAGAATCTAAAAATTAATTGTAAAATCTATTTTTGTAAGGCTTGTCCACTTTTTTTGAATAATGAAATGAAAACATTTCACTAATAATCCAAATAATGGTGGTTAATTAATGGGTCAAGAAATAACACTTGGGTTCTAAAAGAACCTATTTTATTGAAATGATAAAATTTTATGAACTGCTAAAACCTTTTAGTTTTTTTTTATGTGAACTTTTGTTTCTGAGATATTTAAACATTATCTTTGTGAAATTGATTCTTAAAATTAAAATTATTTTGATTTTCTTAAAATATATTTCGTCTTAGAACTTGTCGTTTTAATCAAATTAAATTATAAAAAAGATAATTTGATACAGCTTCTCAAGGAAAAACCTTTCCTGTATAGGGTCTTCTTCAATTACATTTAACCCTCTGAGAGAAGAAATAATAAGGAAAAATCTGAGAAATAAATGTGTCGAATAACAAAATAAAAGATCAATAAATTGAACAATACAGAAGCATAAAAATAATCTCGTAAATCAATATGGTAGTACAATTCTTCACAATAGAAGGACTGTGCTTGATGTATCAAGATTCAATGAAAGTATCCTGAAAGAATACCGATTTCGAATTATTCAGAAAAAATATATGTATATGCATAATATATTTGGAATTAATTTACGTTTTTAAAATCTATGAAAAATCTATAAATCAGTACATGATTTATTTTAGAATGTACTTAGAATGTAATAATTTTATTTATAAAAACGTTTGTATAAACGTATCAAATTAAAAGCATTTAGAATCTATGAAGTATCTAGATTCTGTGCGGTATCTTAAAATCTATTGAATAACTAGAATCTATTAAATAGCTAGAATCTATTAAGTATCTAAAATCTTTGAAGTATCTAGAATCTATTAAATAACTTAATTCTATTTCTATTATGCAGTACTCAGGATCCATTTAATTTTGATGCAGATCCGGATAACAAAAAAATAATTTTCAATTTTTTGTTCGCTTATTTTTATCCTATAACTTGATGAACCATTCAGAAATAAGGAAATTTTTATAATCTCTCTTTTATCAAAAGTTCAGCTTTGGGTTTTAGGAGTAAAAAAGGTTTTTGTTTTGCAGTTTTTTGGTGATATTTAATCCCTGCCTTGGATCCGGATGCCAAAATCTTGCGGATCCAACGAATCCGGATCCGGATCCTAAGCATTGCTTTTTTGTATCTAAAATCTTTAAAGTACCTAGAATCTTTGAAGTATCTAGAATCTATTAAATATTTAAATTCTATTAAATAACTAGAATCTGTTAATATCTAAAATCTTTGAAGTATCTAGAAATCTAAAAGGCATCTAAAATCTATGAAATATCTAGAACCTTTAAAGTATCTTGAATCTTTTGGTATCCAGAATCTTTGAAGTATCTAGAATCAAGTAACTAAAATCTTTGAAGTATCTAGAATCAAGTATTTAAATCTATGAAGTATCTAGAATCAAGTATTTAAATCAATGAAGTATCTAGAATCTGTCAAAATATCTCGAATCTTTGCAGTGTCTAGAATATTTTATGTATCTTAAATCTATGAAATATCTAGAATCTTTGAAGTGTCAAGTTTTAAGTATCTTATATCTATGAAATATCTAGAATCTTTTAAATATCTATAATCTTTGAAGTGTCAAGAATCAAGTATCAAAATCTAAAAAGTATCTAAAATCTATCAAAATATCTAGATTTTATGAAGATTCTAAAACCTATGCATGAGTATCTAGAATATATCAAATCATGTTTACGATATATCTATAATCTGTTATATCAAAATAATGATTAACAAGAAACACATTTATATATGTGTCTAGAAAATATCTAGAATATATATCTAGATGAATATATTTATATACATTTGAGTTAAGAAAATATCTAGAATATATATCCGGAAATATATATATTTGAGCTTAGAAAATATCTAGAATTTATATCTAGAAGAATATATATATATATATATAACTCGTATTTTAGTTAGAGTCTAGGATCTCTGTTATCCGTGGTGGGGCTCGGGTACTCCTAGAATCCTCTAGACCAGCGACTGACTCAACACACAGCCAACACTGCTGCAATATTATTGTGAAACGAATCCTAATTACTGAAAATACACCGCGCCCCAATTTTCGAAAGATGGGTTACACCCCCCCCCCCCCGTTTCTTCAATGTATATATGGCGCTTAATGACGTGATGTGGCGCCTGATTTTTATTAGTGCCAGGAAGTGATTTCCTTTTTATTAATCCAATTAATTTCGAATTAATCATTTTTTCACGATGCATAAATTTTCATTATTGAATTATTATCATAATTGCGATGAATGAATTTAAATTAAATATTGATAGTTTAGTAAATCAAGAAGTTTGTTAAGACAATAAATGCATAAAACAGGTCAAGACTGTAAACCCCTCTATGAAGTTAAAAGTAAACGTTTCAAATCAAACTATTGATAAAAAAATGATTAATCTAAAAAAATAAGAATTGATTGATTTAAGAATTTCCAACTTAATCAAATTATTGATTTCTACTAATCTAACTAAAAATAAACAATATAAATATTATTTAATAAATAATAAATGCAATATGCATGAACTTGGTATCAGCTGTGTTCGGGGAATTGGATCAGGTGTTAGAAACAATTAACATCTCAGCTGATAACCCCATTTATCACCCGAAATGGCTCTCAAGTCCCAAGTCGGAAAGAAACTGAAAGTAATAAAAAATAACCGGTTAGGTGTCAACAAAATCCCAGAAAAGGGTAAAGAAATCTACAAGCACATTCCACTCATCCATTATCCAAGTAGACAGCCATACACCGCAACAATGTGTTAATAATTAACTAAAATAATCAAGCAAATCCCTCTGATCAGTCCTAAGGATCCATTTCGATTGAATTTGGATCCGGATCCTGGATCCTTCCTATAAAGCAATGGATCCGGATCCAAAACTTGATCCAGCTCAAAAATGCTCTTAATAAGTTTTAGTTTTGCTTTTTTGTTTTACAACAGTGAAAGGAACTAAGTTTAAATCACAAACTCTGATTCTTTGATCTTAGAGTTGATCATATTGCAATAATTTGATGATTAGAAAATTTGAGTTTGTGGCAAACACTCAGTTTCTTAACAAAATGTTTTCGTGTGGTTCAATGCATAAATTTTGTTTAAAATATTTTAGCCAACGAAAAAAAAAGTGCATTTGACTCATAAACTGTGCGTTTTAGAAATAGTTTATTTTTTTCTGCCCTACCTGCCATCGTTTTCTATTGTTTGTAATGAATGATGAAATATTATCAGTCCGGCTCAGATTACAAGCGTCAAAAAGAAAAGTATTTGCGTAATGCGTAATAAGAAATTCATGTTCACAGTTAATAAATATTGCAGATAAATAAATAGAACTGGAAAAATAAAGATAAATGGATAGATAGATAAGAGAGAGGAATTTCCCTAACTTTAGAATGACTCAACTTAAATTTGAATTTTGATTTAAATCACCGGGTTCGGCCAAATCTTGGTCGAGTAAAATAGCTAACTTTGATATTAGTATCTCTTATCTAGTCTTTAGTATCTAGCATATCTAGTATCTACACTCTACAGTGTCTATCTTTTAGTATCATGTCTTTAGTATCTGGTATTTTTGTATCAAGTGTTTGATATTTAGTATGAAGTGTCTCATATTTGGTATAAAGTGTCTGATATTTGGTATTAAGTGTCTGATATTTGGTATCAAGTGTCTGATATTTGGTATCAAGTGTCTGATATTTGGTATCAAGTGTCTGATATTTGGTATCAAGTGTCTGATATCTGGTATCAAGTGTATGATATTTGGTATTAAGTGTCTGGTATTTAGAATCAAGTGTCTGCTATCTGGTATCAAGTGCCTGATATTTGGTATCAAGTGTCTGA